GGCATATTCTATCATGAATCATGATACAATGACAACGGTTTTTCGGCTTATTATAAGAGTTGAGTATCTAAAATAATTCATCAATTGATAAAAATAGAACTCACTCATCGTAGCATAACATTAACATATATCATGGAATTAACTGAATTTAGTCCATAGAATGATAATGCTCCACGCCTCCACATATATTGGAGTGTTGCATCTTCATTGTATAAATCCAATTAAATTTAAGAAAAATGAACATTAAAATTTACAAGGAATTAAATAAACTAAGGAAGGTTGGATAAGAAGATAGAAGTAATGAAGACCTTTTGGCTTTTGCTGGTAGCTTAGGCCATCATGTCAAAATTGGATAAGAGAAGAAAAGAAATAGATGATGATGTATAAGTTGTTGAATTATAATTATAAAAGTTGACATAACTCTTTAGTGGCCCTACTAATTATTCCTTCACTCAAAGGGTACCCCCCACTTGACCTATAAATTGTACGCCCATTATTTTCCAAAATTAGTGGACTTTCATTTTCATCGCTTGGCCTGCTTAGCTTGCTTACATATAGAGAGTTATACATAGTCGCAATTATTACAATTTACAAAAATACAACAATAGTGTGACTCATGAATGAGTAAGCTTATCTTTGAGAGTGACCCTTAAACCCTTAGACGACCATATTTTGATTCATTCGTGTTGGTAAGTTTATCCGAAAATCTACAATAGCTACATTGAGCTTAGTTGATTGGATGACTTAAAAATACAATATATAGTACGCTATGATCTTTTCTACTTGCAAATTGCAATGTAACTTTCTTGAAGTTATTGAGATTGATGATCCTGATCCTGCTACATCCAGCCCATCTACAAGCGCAACGGTTTCTTGATATTTTCATAACCACTTGTTAATCATACGATCGTTTGGATGGGGAGATCTAGCTGAATCCACTGCACAAGGTGACAAGCCATGTGATAGACTATTATCCATTGCCTAATAACAGGATAAGGGGAAGGGAGATTTTATTTTAAGACTGTCCTCTATTATTTGTATGTTTAGTTTGCCATTTAATTTGTCTTTTGTGTAACGTTACTATGAGTTGGCATGCCAATATTATTATCATTAATTGTGTGACTGGTAAACTATGGTGTCTCATGTCACGTATGTCCATGTGCAACTAATTTGGCTACTTCCTACCAACATATTTGATGTGACTATATATTATACGAGTTGTATTTAGTATATTATATATGCCTGTAAAGTACTTTTAACATAGGATTGATTATTAACCAACATTTAATATTAATTATAAGCTAAGGGTGATTAATTTATTAATCCTTGCTTCTTGGATATTTTGTTTTTGACAACACATGAATAAGAAACGCAACATGTTTCCTTCTCCGAGTTGCCAACCACCATACACTTAGCTATGACTTTATATTAAGATAATAATATGATTATAATTCTTAAGTTGTTAGTGGATTTAATTAATTTGTAGTCACACAATGCCCATGAGTTCGTGCATGGTCTTACCTAAATTAATTTGCATATCTCTATGTATTTGTATATCTCTATCTAAATTTAGATATGTATCAAATTATTGGCAGTTTAAATTTTTTGGTGTTGATGCATTTATGGTGTGGCAGCCTATCTGCCTATGATATGATAAAACAAAAGTGTCCGATCTACACAATCAAAAGGGGTGGGCTTGGCCGCTTGGAAGAGGATGTTATTTTGTTATTTTATGATTTGATTCAATTATTATATTTTTATGAATTATATATGAAAGGGAGAAGAAGTTATGAGTAAGCTTGAATTTTTTATTTTTTTTTTAATTTTTTTTGGAAACAAAATAAGCTTAGGTTAGTTTTTACACAAGTGAATGAAATTTATTATCCTCAAAAAAGGGATATTCAAGCTTGATTTGATTTTTTAACTAAATACTTGTATGAATAAGTTAAGATAGATTAGATTAGCTTAAATGAGGAATAAAGTGCTCTTATGATTGGTTAAGATAGATAAGAATTTGTTCAAAAATGTAAATTTATAATGAACACACCTTATTGTAACTTATCTCGAAAAGGTTTTAACAATCTCCATTGAGATTTAGGCAATTTCTCTTTACCTTATTTTTAGAACGTAATAGTTCATATAAAATTAGTATATTGTCATATCATATTACACCATACCATATGTACTTATTAGTGTTATTACACATTGAATATAGATTGGCAAGATCTCACATATTAATACTTGTTCTTATATCGGGTTCAAAATACGATCATGGTTGTTAGAGCTAAGAACTTGCTTGAGTTATTTTGATTCAAACTAAAAAGCCAATTGAGCACAACCTCACCCTTAGAAGAGTTAGAAGTTATCACTTGCTTTATTTTATGCAGCTTAATTGGGCTTTCATGTGGCCTTGCCCTTGAGTTGATAATTCTTATTGGGCTATATTTGGACCTTGAAATAGCCCAAATAGGAAGGTGCAATCTCAGTGTTTATTTTCTGACACCAAATAAAATAACTAGGCCATATTTTGGGCTAATGTATACGTAGTAGTGGTAGTACTTAACTAATTGAATGCGTGGGCTTATATTTTTCAGAAGTGATAAATCTGTACCAGTCCAAATACTTTCATTTTTTTCCTTTTCTATCTACGAATTCATCAAATTTGTGAGAGAATGTATTTGGAGAATTTCCAAAACTCCACCTTAATGTTTTTATATAGTACGGAGTATATGGAAGGTATTGCTACCTTAGTTACTTCCTATAGTTTATAAGCGTGAAGTAATTTCATATAGTTTAGCTAATACAAGTAAATCCCCAGAGTTGATTTAAATTATAAACAAGTCCATTTAAATACTATATTACCCTTTTTTTTTTTTACTTATTTGTGCAAAGTTATACTTCGTTCGTCCTTATACGATTTTCTTTGACTCTCAAACAGAGTTATATGACAATGATTTAAAATCTTATACTCAAACAGATCTTGTTTCATTAAATGAAAACGAAATGAAGTGAGCAAAGGCCATTTCATCAGGTAGATTTGACATGTGATCTACATGTGATGACTTAGACTTTTATTCTTAAACTAATCTCGTGTTTTGTGATGCATATTTTTGGCCTACCTTAAATTTGGATTCACATTTGCATATAAAAAAGAACAAGAAAAAAAACCAAAAAAGAGGACATGGTCTCAGGATCTTGATCTCATCTAAATCATAGCTCAATCCAAGCTATGCCCCTTCAAAACCTCAATATTCTCAAACAATTGTCACTTATATAAAAATAAAAACTAGTGCAACCATATCTTGCTATGTTTTGAAGTGGAGTGTGTTAAATGTCTTTCGATAATTTTTAGTAGTATGTGTACGTTGTTTTCTTTAGCCTCAAGTAATTTCAATATTCCACAAATTCAGTGACATTGCAAATTCGAACAATGTCTTATGTTTATTTCCGTGTATTTTTTTTTTTTTTAATTTTATTATTAGATATATACATTTGTCGATTCTAATCTTGTCAATTTCGCTTTAATTAAAGCTCTAAACACATTGTGTAAATAAAATAATCGAATATAAATACACAAGCAAATATTATTCCATTCATATTTTATATTCACGAGTCTCTCTCCCTCTCTTTGGGTGATGAATATCTAGTCTTAAGTGTGGTATTATGCTTTAAGCAAAAGCAAAAGATGTTCAATGGTTCATATGTACTTCCAAAGGATGCGGAATTTAAGTTTCGTGCCACTCACCCAAGTAGGGCCATCTTGCATGGAGTTAATTGAGGATTATATGTTGGACTTTTCTTAATTCTTAAACAATAATTGGATTTGAATTTTATTCAGTGTAGTTGCAATTTTCAATAGTTTAATTTAAGGGGCAGTATTTACGACTTGTTTAATAGACGATCAATTGACAATAAGTGGTGATACGAATAAGAAAAAGTTAGAAAATCATGAGGTCTTCGTCATTAGAACCTACGGATTTCACTTCAGCAATATCAGTGGTAGTTAAATCTCTCATAGGGACCTAACTCCCTTCCTCGATACTTGAACACTCATTACTACTAGAAGTTAGACAATCAGGTGCAGTCCTTTCCACCGTTATCTACCTTCAAGTTCTCTGCCATGTCAAATAAGTATGGAAGGTCGATCAGGTTAAGAGTGAAGAACAAGAAAGGTAAAAGGTATTCAAGGTTTTATTTTTGCAGGATCGGGAAACGCAAGGAAACAAGTATGGAACATCTTATGGCTAGTGTCGGCGACGGATTTTCTCAACCCTCTTATTTGAATGGTCAAGCAGTTCACAACGTTTGTATCCCCAATCCCCGTTTTAGTTCTTATTTTAGTATGATTAAGAGGTTTAAACATTCCGTTTGTAATCTCGAGTGAGTTATGAAGATGCATTTTATTTGCACTGATCAACTCATTCAAAGTGTTCTTACACTCACGTTTATGAATTATGATACCCACTAAATAGTCTAAAGTCCCATGCTAGTATTACAATTAAGATCTTGATCTAAAATTAAACAAAGATATCTCCTTTAAACCAACTAAATTAATTAATTGGCTATTATTACTCCCTTATACTCTTCACAAATTCTTATATATGACTGACCACACCATGTGACCAGTCATCATAGGAGTTACCCGGTCAATGTTAAGGGGTTACTTTGTTAGAGTTATAGGGTTATTTCGTCAGTGTTATAGGGGTCACTTAATCAGTATTAAAAGGGGTTACTCAGTCAGTATTTTAGGGATTACTTTGTTTTTTTACAAGCGGTCACACAGTACGGCCAGCCGCACACAAGACGCGCTGTATTCTCTTTATTTTATCTCATCCCTTATCTTCACTTTTTTAAAAGTTATTTTATAAAAGTGAATAAATTAACATTTGTACATAAAAAGAATATAAAATAGTAAAGAAATGTGAGAATTATGCTATCTAAGATAAAAAGCGGTATAATATCTTATAAAACACATATATAAAGGGAAAATCTTTAAGGAACATAGACATTAAGACTATACCTAATTAGACAATCACTCATAGAGTCGTAGTTTCAACAAATGGACAGGAAATTGAAGATGTCCCTATTAAAAAGATCCGAGGTGGCCCCTTAATTCTTCATAAGCATAAGACAGCATCGGGTACACAATTCACTCACTCTTTTACACTTCTGCCCCTGCTTTCCCTCTCTTCTTCCATCTTTGAGAAAAAACTCAAAATCACCAGCATTTTCTCACAAATCAACTGAAACCCAGCTCCCACCCCCAAAACCCAGAAAAATTAGTTTCAGAAATCACAAGTTTTAATGGTGATGAACTTGAAAGTGGGTAAAAGACCACCATGGGTGGGTTTAGGAGCAGCAGTATGGGTTCAAATAGCATCAGGAAATCCATACACTTTCCCACTTTATTCACATTCTTTAAAATCAGTTTTAGGTTTTAATCAAAGGCAATTAACAATGCTTGGAGTTGCTAATGACATTGGTGAAAATGTTGGCCTTCTTCCTGGGATTATCTGCAACAAATTTCCACCTTGGATCATTCTTTCTATTGGGGCTTCTTGCTGCCTCTTTGGTTATGGTGTTCTTTGGCTTGCTCTTAGTCGCACTGTCTTGTTCTTGCCTAATTGGCTGGTATAAATCTTTCCTTTTCTTTAATGGTTTTTTGTTAGATGTATTATTTTTGCTAGTTTTGGAGTATCTTTTTTTATTAGTTTGTGGATTGTTTGTCTTCTTTTGGATCAAATTAAATGTCTTTTTTAGGTATGAAAATGTGAATTAGTAATAGATATAGTCGTAAGAGCTATAATGTAGACGAGATTTGATCCTGGGCAATGCAGGATTGCAGGGTACTGTATGTTATGCTATTGATATTTTTGTGATGATGGGCCTAAATGACAGGTCCAAAAAGTCTTGGTTGGTGAGGTATTGGAGTTGGTTATGGTAGAATTTGGGTTAAGCTATGGAAAAATTGGTAAAGATATGATAATTGGTCTTATTTAAAAATAAAGGGATGCATTTTAAGGCATCTTTGGTGGTGTGGGTACAACTAAAGGGAGTATTTATAGGGTGTACATATCTTTCTGTCTTTCTCTACATTAATAGCATATTTTGTTAGAGCATCTGTTCTCGGGTGCACCTAATAATAGACTCTTGTTCCTATTGGATTATTTGATACAGTAGGTGTGTTCATTCTACTCTATTATTTCTGACTTCTTAGAATTACCCACCAGAATAGTATTGTTAAGGTTTTAAAGCTAGATATATTTAGCCTAGACACTTCTATTCCATACACGGAATTATTCTTGGGTTTGACATTCTTGTGATTGACTACCAAAATACATAATACTACTTTTAGTATGGTGAAGAGTTTGACATAATTGATGTGATTTGGAGCTTTTTGGCGGCATTTCAGTGTGCCATTCCTGTAGTTTTGAAATTGATTTCTTTTTCAGTTGGAAGAGCTTGTGAACTTCTTTGATTTTTGCATATTTAGTCATTGGTTAAATCCCCCAGACATTAGAACTCTATAAGTATATAAGCTTGTACTAATTGCAATTCTTTTTCTTAATTACTCCGTAGACGGCTTCTTGGTTCTACACTTTCTTGTGGTTCATTAGGATGTCAAAAAAGTCTTTTGAAATTAATCTTTCTTAACATCTATGTATGTATGTGTGTGTTTATAGAAGTGTTCCCTACTTTTGTTCTGTTGGAAAACTATAGTCAAGAAAAACCAGTTCTCATTTGAGAATGTTCAAAGTCAGAGGTTCAGCAGAATTTATAGTAATTAGCTTTTGAGATAATAATTTGTAAATGCTTCATGATACTGGTGTTTGATTTGAACTTAAAAGAGATAAATTGATAGGCAAGAATCATGTTTTGCTTGTGCTTTGCGAATTTCAAACTACTTTTTAACATGCTACTTGTGCAACTCTCTTGGCTTTAGCTCTCTTTTCTATTGGAAACTGCGATTTCACCTTTAATAATGTGAATGGATGCAGTAATGCTTGGAATATAATTAAGCGGGCGTTATAGCGCCCAAGTGGGAGACAGAATAGGAAGGCTCCCAAAATATCCATTTTGGAAAGATTTGGAAGGAAAAGCATCTCTGATCTTTTTTTTAACTTATCTTTCAAAACTAAAATCAGAGAATGATTTTTCTCATGTTATTACAGCCTTTTTGGTCTCCTCCTTTTGCCACCAAAATTGCTATTGAATCATATAATTAATGCGCGTTAGTTATGATATATGTTCTTGAAGGTTTGCTGTACAGTGTACACTATATTGAAGATGACCAGGATACATTATTGTTTGATGTCTTTTCGGGTTAGAATTTGACAATTTGAAGTAAAATACACATATCTATATATAGGGTGAACACTGAAACAAGTAACTTCACAATGATTTAAAGCTGTATGGAGTGACATGCAGATGTTATATTATAAATTTTGCTACGAGTTGCTTAGCCACAGTGCCTCTGATGAATTTCTTGATGGCATCTGTCTCATAAGTTATATACATGTGTAGAGAACATAAATCTTACTGTACTCTTAGTTTCATCACATTTTCCATCTCTACTTGGTACTTTTGCAAAACATCAGTTGTTGCTGTTGATATAAGCAGAGGTTCTTTATAAGGAGATTGCTGTAACTTAAAAAAGAGCTTAAATCTGATGACTTAACTTTCATTGCTATGCAGTTGTGGTTGGCACTCGTTGTTGGCACCAATAGCAGTGCATGGCTGAGCACTGCAGTGCTTGTTACCAACATGAGGAATTTCCCTGTTAGTCGAGGCACAGTTGCAGGCATCCTTAAAGGCTATTCGGGCTTAAGTGCTGCTGTTTATACAGAAATATACAGTGTCATTCTTCACAGCTCCTCTCCCAATCTCTTGTTGTTCCTTGCTCTTGGAGTTCCTATCTTGTGCTTCCTCGTTATGTACCTTGTACGACCTTGTAGTCCATCTTCCCGAGATAGCTCTGCTGAAAACAGCCACTTTGTTTTCATTCAAGTTGCTAGCATTCTTCTGGGCGTTTATCTTCTTGCAACTACTATTTTGGGTGATGTTCTTTCTCTAAGTCATCCTATTTCCTACATCATACTTACTGTCATGATACTCTTCCTTATGGCACCTCTTATGATCCCATTAAAGATGACACTTTTCCCCTCAAATCCAAGAGCTACCGGGATAAATGATGCACAAGACACTGATTCTTTAAATTCCTTTATCGAAGATGGAAAAACAGAACCATTGTTAACACCGACATCCTCTGAAGCAAATCTGAAAAATTTGTATGAGAACGAAGATTTATCAGACATTGATCTGCTTCTTGCTGAGGGAGAGGGGGCCATAAAAAAGAAGAGGAGACCTAAACGTGGGGAGGATTTTACATTTCGGGAAGCAATTGTTAAGGCTGATTTTTGGCTTCTTTTCTTGGTATACTTTGTTGGAGTTGGTTCAGGGGTAACTGTTCTTAATAACCTTGCCCAGATTGGGATAGCATATGGAATGCCGGATGCCACAATCCTCCTTACCCTCTTCAGCTTTTTCAACTTTGCGGGCCGTCTAGGTGGTGGTTCTGTTTCAGAGTACTTTGTCAGGTCAGTATCATTACAATAAATTATATAGTAATATTAGTATAACTAAAGCTAAATGTACCATCAGTAGTAGTAAGGAGTATTACCTTCTGAACCAAGCACTCATCTATACTTTAACTTTTTACTGGACTGCATCAACTAAGCGAAGAAAGGTGCAGACGTTATGATCGAGTTTATGGCCAATATCGTACATTCATCCCCTTAACTATGTGGTTTGACTCGTTTGAGTGTTTGACCCATAAAGACAGTGTTGGTTGGCCCGGCCTTCCATAGAATTTAGTCTAGATCTCTCTACCTTTCAGAAAAAAGAAAAAAGCACTCGGTCTCCTTGTTACGGTTCACCTATCAGAAAAAAGCATTTGGCCTCTATCAACATCTCTGAGTGACGTTTTTCGGGAGTAATTAGATACATACAGTATTTCCCTTAAGAATTTGTCTGAACTCTGATGGTGCATAATTTGCGGTTACATAATGAACTTGGAGTCTAAATCTTTATACAATAATCTTGCATTTATTCACAGTGCCCTCTAATATGCAGGACAAGGACACTTCCAAGGACAATCTGGCTGACATGCACACAAGTAGTTATGATAATTGTGTACCTTTTATTTGCTTGGGGAGTTAAGGGCACCCTCTATGCGGCAACCGGGATGTTAGGTCTCTGCTATGGTGTACAATTCTCTATCATGATCCCCACTGCCTCTGAATTATTCGGATTGAAGAACTTCGGTGTAATCTACAATTTCATGTCTATTGGCAACCCTCTTGGTGCGCTCCTCTTCTCAGGTTTGCTAGCTGGGTACATATATGATCATGAGGTTTCAAAGCAGTATGGTGTAAATATGCTATCTGCTAACTCACACACTTGTTTCGGTCCAAACTGTTTCCGTATCACTTTCCTTGTATTGGCTTGTGTTTGTGGCATTGGCTCCATCTTGAGTGTTGTTTTGACCATTCGGTTAAAACCCGTGTATCAGATGCTGTATGGAGAAGGATCCTCCCGGCACCCTACAAGTTCAAGTAATTGAGAAAATCCTGAGCATGAAATTTGTGAGTCTCCAACAGCTTTATTCTGTTCTGTTGTAAAAATCTAGATTATTTTAGTATACCTGTACACCAAAGTATTTGTGCTTGCTCAACATCCATATTTGTACGTCTGTAGTCACTCTTAGCTGGTGATTCGGTGAAAGTATATGGTAGCGGTGTTAATGTGTTATACAGTTATGTGTGAACTAAGCTTGTGTTATATTTTATAAATTAGCTATTAAGTTCTTATGAAGATGATGTAATGGTCAATGTTTATGCAAAAATGAAAAATACCATTTACAGGTCTTTATTCTTCCTCTTTCCGTTATCATTATTTTGCAAGATTTGCTGTTGCCGACATCCCTTATTCTCACTGACGTAATCTTACTCATTTAATTCGAGCACAACTACAAATCGATATTACGAAATCAAACACGAACACGACCACCTTCCTGTAAAAGTCTGCCCTGAAATTACATGGGCCATTCCTGTGTTTGGGCCACAGAAAATATACTATGCTCCAATCACCTAAAATAATGGGTAAAAAAAAAAAAAGAAAGGCGCCTTTTAGTCTTGAACCTACCAACGGCCTATTTTGTAACGAACTTTGAGATACTTATCCATTAACCAATGCAAAAAAAAAAAAAAAGAAAAGAAAAAAAAAAACAGATAAACTGACTCTTTTTTCATTCAAACCTTTGATCCTACCATTTCTCTCGCTCTTATTTAAAATCTTATCTTACTAAATTTGCATTTTCCTTCATTTTTGTTTTCTTTTGTTTTTCTTAATAAGGTTCACACTATGCATATAACTTGGAGGAAATCAGCACCGTTAAACCGGCTGATCAAACTCACACTCTACCGGAGATTTTCCAGCGGATCGGAGCAATCTTTTTCGTCATCATCGTCATCGTCGTCGTCGTCCTCATGTGGAGCCAAGGTTGAGGGTGGCCATTGCAAGGCAGAGTCTTGTTTTCTTGATCTTGAATCTTCTCCAGGGTTGTTGAGGTTGTTCTCATCTGGGCTTTTTGTTGTTGGGTCGGGCTTGGGCCTCTGCTACTGGGCTGGTTCTTCGAGCCATGGCGGGATGGCCTTCGCCGATGAAGGAGGAGTTGTTGATGAGGAGTATTCGGAGGTTGAGGAAGCTGTCCCTCAGAAGAAGCCTATGTTTCTCTTCAAAGGTAAGCTTTCCTCTGTTTTGGTTTTTTTTTTAATATTTTTATTTATGTATTCAATGTTGTAAATTTTGAAATAAATCATATAGACATGATGTAAGATTAGGATTGATAAATTGATGGGACTAATGGATAAATGGATAATGTTATACTTGGATGAAATCTTTATGGATATAAGGATAATTTTATATTTTGTTGTTGAATCTTTTAATAGACTATTATACTGGCTTCTAATTAAGCTGAACGTTTTCGATTATTTGGCTTTTGTTTATTGTATACTACGTATATATAATTGAAATGGCTTTAATAACTAACCGCGACTCTTTGATATTTTATGTAATGTTGCAAATGGATGTTGTGCTAGAGTCTAATGGAAACAACCTCTGTATAATGGTTGTGAGTGCTATGCTACATTCATCAAACCCCCCAACCTAACACACATTGAGAATTTGAGAGTTGGGACTCCGGGTTTATCTGTGGCAAATATCCCAATAATCGCTTCCCCTCCTCGTACTTGAGGTCTTTAGTTCAATTCAAGGCTCACCGAGAATGGGGATAGGATAGGCCGTATTTAGGTGCTCTACAAGAGTATATTGTTAGGTACACTTTTCAAGTCACTGCGTGCTTGAGCTTAAAATGCATCCTAGTTTAATGTAGTCCATTCCATTGTCATCCTAGTTTCAAGTCTTGAGCTTATTAGACTTCAGAATAACTTACCGAGTTCTATTACTTCTATATATCATTTTTAGTATCCAATTTGGATGCTTCATATTTTGACATGGGTATGGGCATTTGATACTTCAATATAGACTAAAATCATGGAGAAACCTAACTGTACTCTATCTAGATACATATAATTTCCATGTTAGATACTACTAGCATGTAGTATATACTGATTCTATCATACTATGTGATTCTGACAAAATACTTGACTCTTAAATTTGCCTTTGGCCAACAGAATGAGCAATGCAATGCAATGCTTTAATTAACTGTCCTGTATTGCTGTCAATTTGATTTTTGACACAGAGAAAGTTGCTATTTTTCAGATGAATACAGGAAAAGAGTTTTCTTCAACTATGAAAAACGCATTAGACTACGAAGTCCACCAGAGAAGGTGAATTATACACCCCTCTTACGACAAACATACTTCATTATGACATAGTAAGGTTTGTTAAGATAACTGTACGTATTTCAGGTTTTCGAGTACTTTGCTTCTGCTCGATCTGCAAGTGGGGAATATCTGATGACACCAGGGGATTTAATGAGGGCAGTTGTTCCATTGTTTCCTCCCTCCGAATCCAACTATGTTAGAGGGGGATATCTCAAGAGTGAAAAGTCACCTGGAGAGCTGCAATGTGCTCCTTCTGAGTTTTTCATGCTCTTTGATACCAACAATGATGGCTTCATATCCTTTCCCGAGTGAGCTGCAAATCTTTCACTTAACCAAAATCACTAGGATATTTTTCCTCTGTTCTAGGCTTTGTGTGACTTACATGGTTTAAACTCACTAACCTTGACCATATATTTAGCTTAATTATTTATTGAGTCAAAATGCATATAGAGTCCTTTTTATAAAATTTCTCTTAACTATTATTTTGGGGAGATTATCACTCTATTTTGTTATGATATACGATGTTTAGAATTACCCAATTACTTTACAGTCACAGTTGACAGGGAGAGACTTATATAGTTATATAGTATATCACTATATCATATGCTTTGAACTTGTTTTCATATTTCATGTTACATATGATTTTCAGGTATATATTTTTGGTTACCTTACTTAGCATACCAGAATCAAGCTTTTCTGTGGCTTTCAAAATGTTCGACCTAGACCATAATGGGTATGTGGTAACACTTCATGTTTCATTTTCTTCTTAACAAATTTATGTGATTTCTACATTACTAATATATTTTTATTGTCAGAGAAATAGACAAGCAGGAATTCAAAAAGGTAATGGATTTGATGCGAACATATAACAGACAAGGAAGACAACATAGTGATGGCCGTCGTTTTGGGCTCAAAATTTCAAGCACTCCTGTCGAAAATGGTGGCTTAATCGAGTATTTCTTTGGTAAAGATGGAAATCAAGCTCTTCACCATGACAGATTTGTTCAGTTTTTGAGAGATCTGCATCTTGAAGTATGCTTCCTTCTCTCGAATATTTAGCCTTAATTAAATGTCTAAACAACCATGCTCCGAATTGCATCATAAAAGCCACTATTTTCCATGCATATTCCACACAATTTTTCTATTCCGTAATCTTCTTACATAACATTTCAATATACAGGGTACTATTTTGAAAATTCAGGTAATAATCAATTATATTGGCTAAACATATACACCATACTCACAGAAATGTCACAATTATTATATACCTCGGTCATCTAGTAACATCTAGCTTTTATAGTATCATGATCATTTTAATTAGTAGATGATCGAACTTTCTGATACTGATTTCAAAACAGCGAAGTAAAACAGTCAATTTAGACGGAAGCACATTCAATATATAAGTGTACCTCTTCCATGGATTGACAGATTGTTAGGTTGGAGTTCGCACACTATGACCACAAGTCGCGGGGGACTATATCTGCAAGAGACTTTGCTTTGTCAATGGTGGCATCAGCTGACATGAACCATACAACTAAGTTTCTTGATCGAGTTGATGAACTAAGCAATGATCCTCACCTAAACAGCGTACGTTTCACATTTGAGGAATTCAAGGGATTTGCTGAACTAAGGAAACGTTTACGTCCACTTTCTTTGGCAATTTTTAGTCATGGCAAAGCAAATGATGGACTCTTGACAAAGGACGATTTTCAAAGGGCCGCTTCTCATGTACGTTTCTCACCTTTCTCCTTTTTTTTTTGTTTTGTTTTGTTTTGTTTTGTTTTTTTACTCTTTAATCTATGTTCGAGTTATAGTTTAGACATCATCATTATATCAAGTACATTAGAAGGTACTATGTTACTAGTAATTTGTTAAGAAATAATCCAATTGTTATTTATCATAGTTATATATGCAAACAGACAAAAAAAATTGATGAATAATTTTTCTAATTGGTGCAAGGTATGTGGGATTCAACTAACAAAGAATGTGGTTGACATAATATTTCACATCTTCGATCTGAACCGTGATGGAAGTCTGAGCTCTGATGAGTTTCTGAGAGTATTGCAAAGACGAGAAAGAGATGTTACGCTCCCTAGGGAAGCAGGGTTCAAGGGATTATATTCTTGCTTGGTCGACTGTACTACTAATTGCTCTTCAGTAAAGGTTATGTAGTCTTTTTGTTACTGTTATTAGTTATGGCCAAAGGAAATTTGATTATGTTGCTGATTTTTTCGTCCAGCACTATAATCTTAGATATTATATGTATAGTACTTATAAACCTGTTGATATTTGATGCAACTAAATATAATTAGTTATTCATATAATTAGCAATATATATAATCCAGAGAGCTTGGATTAAAACTTTAATTAAAACATAACAAAACATATATATAATAGATCTACATACACCCTGTTCTTAATGCATGCATCATTAGTTCATCATTTTGGCTCATCGGTGACTGGAGCAAGAGCTCGAGGACAATTATAGACATCGCAGAATGATTGGATAGCCATGAGAACCATGAGCACGAGAGCTAGAATGAGCATCAGAATCCTCCAACCACAAAACATGCACTCTTTTGTGAAATTCATGAATTTCACTTTCTTGTTGTTATTATAATAATTGTTAACCTCTTCGATTGCCTTATCTATAGAAGGAACATGTGACAACCTAATGGCTCGACTCATCCCATTCCAAAGCTCAGCAACATCTTCATCTTTCTTCAAATAACTCTTGATGATGCCTTTTTTTCTTAGCAATTTTACGTCCTCTGGGGTGTCTATGATCCCGTTCATGAGCTCAGTGTAACGAGCCAAGTATAAAGGACATGGGAGTGCTTGAGCCTCGTAAGCCACCAAATTCCTTATGATCACCTCCGTGTTATCATCGATGGTTATAACGGGGAGGTGAAATTTTCTGCTCCTTTTATCGAACTTTATGCTAGTGATTGGACCATCTGTATGGCAAAATTGCACACCAATGCTATCGAGTTTTGACACTGAAGGAATAGCAATTTCTTCCACCGTCGGGGCTCCCTTAAAGTCACCCTCTCTATTACTCTGCGAATTTCCACCTTTCTCGGGATCAATGGTTTCAGCTTTCTGTTTCCACGAGTTGCTTGATATGGATGGAAGCACTTCCATGACAACGCGAGTAATCCTGTAAATGACCTGAACCGGCTTAATTTGTTTAAATTTTTGTACAAATGTTATGTTGAGTTGGTCAAACGTTGCAAGTTTGATAGACCATTTATCTGGTAACCATTTATTTTGTCGTTATTTTTCTTGATCTTTGTTTTCCATAGGCTTCCCTTCCTGACCATTTAGATACTCCCTACGACTCAAAGTATCCGCCTTGGGTAC